GATAATTACAACAATTCCAATAACAATAATAACAATAATAATAATATTAGTAAGAATAGTAATAAAAATAATAACTATAACAATAGCATTAATAATAATAATAATAACAATAATAACATCAATAATAACTAAAGTAATAATACTATTGATAACCATCATAATAATTATCATCATCATCATCATCATCATCATCATAATAATAATAATAAGAATAACAACAATGATAATAAATAATAATACCAAAGTAACAACAGCAACAATAACAAAAATGATAAGAAATTAGTAATGATAATGATAAAAGTGATGATCGTGATATTGATGACGATGATGTTAACAACATCAGCAACAATAACAATAATATAAAAAATATAGTGACAATAATAATAACAACAATAATAATAATAATAGTAATAATAATAATAATAATGACAACAATAATAATAATAACGATGATAATCATTCTAATAATATAACTGTCATTATCATTTACATTATCATTACTACTAATAATAATGACAGTAATGATAATAATAACAGTAATAGTATAACAATAACAATAACAACAAGAACAATAATAACAATAACAACAATAATAATAATAATAATAATAATAATAATAATAATAATAATAATAATAACAATAATAATAACAATAACAATAATAATAACAATAAATAACAACATAATAATAGTAATAATAATAACAATAACAATAATAATAATAACAATAACAATAATAACAATAACAATAATCATAATAACAATAACAACAATAACAACAATACCATCACCAAAAAACAACAAACCAACAGAAGGCAAAACCCAAGCCGCCCGAGCGTCGAGCCGGCGCCCTCGGGCACCCTCGGGCCTCCTCCGCCTCGCCGCCCGCCCTCCGCCTCGGCCCCGTAACCCACAGCGAGCGCGGGCGGCGGCGGCGGGTCAATAGCACGGCCGCCCGCGAAGTGACACCGAGCTCCTCTCCAACCTCGACTCACCTTCAGGGCGGGTTACAGCGCTAGGGGGTCAGCGCCTCGCCGTGGCACCGTTAGAAGGGGGAGAGGATAGGTACGGAAGGCATGCATATGGTGGTGTGTACCCCTGTCACTGGGGCGCTTCTTGAGGGGGTGCGTGAGGCGGTTGGCACATGGTATGGGTGACACACGGCACGGGTGACACATGACACGGTTGACACACGGTGCTCTTTAGGCGTATTGCGGGGAGAAGGGCGGGTGGCTTCCTCTGGCCGCTGGGAGGCTGAGCGCGGCGGAATAACCACATCGAAGAGGGCGTTTCCGCTACGTCGGCACTGTTGGCACTGGCGGCACTGGCTCTCCTGGGCTCGTGGTGTCACTGCCAACGCTCAGGATATATGGCACTGCGCGACGAGTAGGCACTGAAGGCGGGCGGGCGCGCCAGCCCTGGCACTGGGCGAAGCAGCTCCCAAAACCGCACTTCGGCAGGATCGAAGGCAGGGGGGCGAGGGGGGCAAGGGGAGGGAGCAGGACACCACGTGACCTTGCACGAGTAAATGGTGGCATGACACGAGAAACAACCCACTGGCACTACGGAAGACGCGAGGCCTCCGACGGGCACCTCATGGCACTGGAAGGCAGGCACCGCGTCACAGCAGGAGCGGGAGGAGGTTTCCACAAGGACGCGAGGGAAGGCACTGAGAGCCAGGCGTGGGAGGCGAGGGGAAACCTCGGATACAGGGAGGGAGGGACGGAGGGCGAGGCGGAGGTGGGTGGGTGGGAGGGAGGGAGGGAGGGAGGGAGGGTGAGCGAGGGGAAAGCGAGAGGGCGCGAAAGCGAGCGGCGAGGAGGTGGAGGAGGAGGAGGGGGCGAGGAGGAGAACCGCGACGCAAGGAAAGCGCGAGACGAAACCGTAACATCGAAATAAACAGCCGACCGTCTTGTCTCGCTTTGCAACATCCCGAGCAGCGCCATTCATCCCTGCAATCGATGAGCAAGACGACGATAGTACTACGGCTCTCCGTCGGCCCTGCTTGCGCATGCGGCCCCTCCCTCCCGTGCAGGCGACGAGGTGGACGGTAGATCGGTCGCTCCAAGCACGGACAGACGGTGTACGCGCGCCAGACGTACACAGCCACACATACGCGCACTTTATCCCTCCTTTCCCTCCCTTGCCGAGTGCATGACAACAGGCACGATGTTAATGGGGTGTAACTAATGCAGATTTGGTATAATTGAGAGAGAGAGAGATAGAGAGAGAGAGAGATGAGAGAGAGAGAGAGAGGAGAGAGAGAGAGAGAGAGAGAGAGAGAGAGAGAGAGAGAGAGAGAGAGAGAGAGAAGAGAGAGAGAGAGAGAGAGTCGGCGATTCGGAGCGATATCGACGAAAGCCCCGAGACGACGCCGCTCCACACTCGACGTCGCTCTACCACTCCACCCCAGAGCTCGCCCTCCACCTCCAATATCCCCTAACCCTAGAATTTCAACCAACCCCCTTCTCCTGCCTCCCACTCTCCCCTCTTCCCCATCCCTCTCTCCCTCTCCCTCCCTCTCTCTCTCTCCCCCTTCCCCATCCCTCTCTCTCTCTTCCCCTTCCCCGTCCTCATCCCTCCTCTCCCTCCCCCCTCTCCCCCTCCCTTTCTCTCCCTCTCCTACTCCCTCACCCCCCCCTGCCTTGAGGACCACTCAATCAACCAACCAATAAGGGGAGAGCAACGCCAGGCCCTCAATGAACACCAAGGGAGACCAAAGAACACAATTCAACTTTAAACCAGGGCGCGAGGGAGGGAAGGGAGGGAAGGGAAGGGAGGGAAGGGGAAGGGAAGGGGAGAGGCTTGGAGGGGAGGAGGGGATGAAGCGGGGGCGGCCAGCATTTATCGACGAAGTTACAGGGGTGGGGTGGGGGAGAGGATAGGGGAGGGTGTGGTGGGCGAACATGGGGAAAGAGAGAATGAGAGGCAGGGGGGGGTTGAGAGTATGGAGGGGAGGGGAGGACGGAGGGTAGAGAGCATGAGTGGGGGGGGGGGGGAGAGGCCAAGAGAGTAGATAGACAAGGAATAGACACCAAGGATAGAGCGAGACCAAGAGAATAGAAAACAGGAATAGACACCAAAGGATAGGAAGAAGAGCGAGACAAAGAGAGTAGATAAACAAGGAATAGACACCAAGGATAGGAAGAAGGGAGAGACCAAGAGAGTAGATAGACAAAGGGTATAGCCTATGGTGGGGTGGGGGGGGAGGAGAGGGGGCTATTACGCATGCCCAGGGAGCAGCAACATTTTCCCTGGCTCGCCGCCCCTCAACGCGGCTTATTATAGGCTCTTAATCAGGCCGATGAACGCTCTGCTTATTGGCTTGTTCTTCTGCTCTCGAAGGGAAGGGGTGTGTGTGCGTGTGCGTGTGTGTGTGTGTGTGGTGTGTGTGTGTGTGTGTGTGTGTGTGTGTTGTGTGTGTGTGTGTGTGTGTTGTGTGTGTGTGTGTGTGTGTGTGGTGTGTGTGTGTGTGTGTGTGGTGTGTGGTGTGTGTGTGTGTGTGTGTGTGTGTGTGTGTGTGTGTGAGAGAGAGAGAGAGAGAGAGGGGGGGAGGTAGGAGGAGGGGAGGAGGGAGGGGAGGGGAGGGGAGGGAGGGAGGAGGGGAGGGAGAGGGGAGGGAGAGGGAGGGAAGAGGAAGGGAGGAGGAAGAAGAGAAGAGAGAGAGAGAGGAGAGAGAGAGAGAAGAGAGAGAGAGAGAGAGAGAGAGAGAGAGAGAGAGAGAGAGAGAGAGAGAGAGAGAGAGAGAGACAGACAGACAGAGAAACTGCAAGAGGACGAGGCCGAGGAGCGAGTCAGCGAAAAATAGTACGACGAAGATTGACCCAGTACTGAAACTCTGCCACAGGTGGTTGGCAAGTTTTCCCCCCCCCTCCTTCTATCTATCTGTCCATCTCTCATTCGCTTCCCCTCCCTCTTCCTTTCCCTTCCTCTTCCTCTCCTCTATCTCTTTCCATTACCTCTTTTTATAACTTTTCGTCTCTCTCTCCCTGTCCCTCTTTCTTCTTTTCCTCTCTCCTCCTTTCCTCTTCCCCTCTCTCCTCATTTCCTCTTCCTCTTTCCTCCTTTCCTCTTGCTCTCTCTCTCCTTCTCATTTCCTCTTCTTATTTTGCCTTTCTATCTACATTATTTCGCCTAATTTCACTCTTCCCTATTCTTGTATTTCTTCCTTTCTCCTTTTACCCTTTCCTTTGTTTCCCTGAACTTTCCTTTAATCCCCCCCATCATACCTTCCCACTCCCTCCCCCTCCTCCCCCCTCCCCTCCCCTTCCCACTCTCCTCCCTCCTAATCTACCCCCACTCCCCTTCCCCCATAATCTACCTCCACGCCCCCTCCCACCTCACCTCCCCACTCCTCCCCCCTCCCCCTTCCCCCTCTTCTCCCCCTCCCTCCCACTTCTATTTCCATGCACGCAGTTCGCTTTGTTGACATGTTCTACTCTCGCACGTTTGTTTACATTCCTGATCCCTTTGTTTACATCCACAAACCACCCAAATGACGCAAATATCCAGGTTGCATGCACATTTTTTCCTCCTTCTTCTTCTAAAATAAAACTAGATAAAAATAAACAAAGGCAGTTTATAAACACTGAGAAGCAAAACTCGGAAATTCATCCTTACGAAGATCAAACGTAAAGCCGAAGGGATCTTGATGCACCGAATGGAACGCGGACAAAGAAAACGGGAGTCAGACTTTCCCGTCGCAATCAATACACAACAAACACGCGGGTTCTGTAAATCAGCGCAGTATTAGCGCTTTTTTTTTTTTTTTTTTTTTTTTTTGCTTGAGAGAAGGATGTTTCGAATGTTGTGTGTGTGTGTGTGTGTGTGTGTGTGTGTGTGTGTGTGTGTGTGTGTGTGTGTGTGTGTGTGTGTGTGTGTGTGTGTGTGTGTGTGTGTGTGTGTGTGTGTGTGCTGCTTCTCCCCTCCCGCTGACCCACGTGGCCGAGCCGCCCAAGGCAGCCGCAGGCGCCGAAGAGGAACCATCCCGGGGTACTCACCTCAGAGGCATCGGAGAGCGAGGCGGCCGACGACGAGATGACGGAGGAGACGACGGAGGCGGGGGCGGTGGAGGGCGCGGGCGTGGAGGCGGCCGTGCGGGAGGTGGAGGCCGCCTCCGGGGAGCAAGGGCCGCGCGCCAGCACTCGGGGCGCCGACACGGCCACGGCGCCGCCCACGCTGCTGCTGCTGCCGCCCGCGCCGCTCGTGCTCGCGTTGGGCGCACCTGCAACAGGGAAGCGGGCGTGAGACCTCGGGAGGGGCTGCAGGAAAGGCAAAGGCTCCTCGCACAGCCTGTGGCGCGGGAGCAAGGGAGAGCTGAGGGCTCCTGCCCGGCCAAGGGGCCTGGCGTGAGGGCGAAGGCGGCCTGCAGCCCCTTTAAGAAATGAGGAACGGCAGCGGCGAGGCCGCAGCCCCTTTAAGGGCGCCGCGAAGAGGAAGCGGCGTCCTGCCCTGAGGTGACTTGTGAATCCCAATCCCTGCTCTCGAGCTGACCGCCTTCATTTGTATTAGGCCTGAGTGAGATGACTATTCATGGGCGAACTGCCTCCAACAAAAATTACTATGGCTTGCATGGCGGATATATAACATTTAAATGCATTGCTAGATATTGAACCAAATACAAAACACCAGTTAATCCATTATTTATCTGTTTGCAACTGAACGCATCATGCAAGAACAAGGAGAAATACTGGGAAAACGCCCAGAGCAAAAGTTCCCCGAACAGGCTCGCAGAATTCCGAACCTCCCGACGCAAGAACCGCATAAGGAACTGACGCCCATAGGCCTACATAACAAGCAGCTCGCGCCGGAACTTTTCCCCAGCAGTCGCGGCGCCTTACCGGGATGCGTAGGCTTCATGGCCACCCCGGGGTCGGAGTGGGGCCAGGCGGGCGGTGGTTGGGGTGGGGGGTCCGGAGCCCGAAGCGTCCCCTGGGGAGCCGCTGCCCGACAGGAACTGGAGCACCTGCCTACGCTGCGACTGGAGGACGTGGTAGAAGGTCGGATTCTCCAGCCGCGTCTGCACCTGCGGGAGGAGGGTCGCCGGATTAGCTGAGAGCGCTGGCTGTTGGGATCAGAATCGCCTGCGGTGTCTGAGTGATGATCTGTGTTCTTCATGAGTGGGATTTACGATTTAAAAAACAGTAATTATCCTATTGTGTTATGAAAGATGAGCAGGATTTACGAAGAAAAATTGTAAAACAGTAATTATCATATTGTTATGGTTGGGTACGGTTAACAAACAATATATTATTATTTTCTCAAATATTATTAAACTGCGTTATGGTTGGGTACGGTTAACAAACAATATATTACCATTTTCTCAAATATGTAGAACATTAACAGACCTCTTAATAAAAACATGAAAAAGGACGACCACCAAAATTTATTTTAATTGGCTCTGACGGGTGACAAAGCACTCAACGGTGTCATGTTGGAAAAAAAGAAAGAAAAAAAAAAAGAAATACATGTGCTGAGGCATTAAATTTTCGAAGTTGTCAGCCTCGTATGTTACTACGGAGACATGACATCTTGGCTGGGGAGGAGGGGGGAGGGGGAGGAGGGAGGGAGGAGGGAAGGGGAGGGAGGGGAGGAGGGAGGGGGAAGTTAGGAGGAGGAGAGGGGGAAGGGGGAGGGAGGAGGGGAAGGGGGAAGTTAGGAGGAGGAGAAGGGGGGGGAGGGAGGAGGGGGAAGGGGGAAGTTAAGAGGAGGAGAGAGGGGGAAGGGGGGGGAACGTGGAGGAGAAGAGGGTGGGAGGGGCAGGGAAGAAGGGGAGAGGGGAGAGGGAGGAAGGGGGAGAGGAAAGGGAGGAGGGTGTGAGGATGAGAGAGGAGAGAGGGAGCGTGGAGTAGAAAAGGGGGAATAGGAAGAGGGGGGGTAAAAGGGAGGAAAAAAAAAGGTGAAGGAAAAATGAGCGGAGAGGGGGCGCTCACCAACCACCACTCCATCCACCCCATCTATTCCAGCGCCTAACAACCCGTTCACCCCCACCCCCCATCCCCCCACCCCCTCTCCCGATAAAAAAAAAAATCCTCAGAATTTAAAAGTCTACCTCACCCGTGTACCCTTTCCGTTCCTAGGCCGCTTCCTCTGCATGCGCAACAGGCAGGAGATAGAGAGAAGGAGAGGAAGAGGAGAGAGGAAGGAAGGAAAGAGAGGAGGGAGGAAGGAGAGGAAGGAGGGAGAGATGGAAAGGAAGAAAAGAAGGAGGAAGGAGGAGAGGATGGAGAGGAGAGGAAAAGAGGAGAGGAAGGGCAGGAAGGAGGGAGAGATGGATGGAGGAAGGAAAAGAGAGAGGAAGGGAGAGGAAGGAGGGAGAGATGGATGGAGGAAGGAAAAGAGAGAGGGAGGGAGAGATGATGGAGGAAGGAAAAGGAGAGGAGGAAGGGAGAGGAAGAGGAGAGAGATGGATGGAGAAGGAAGAGAGAGGGAGGAGGATGGATGGAGGAAGGAAAAGAAAGAGAGAGAGAAGGGAGAGATGGAAGGAAGGAAAAGAGAGAGGACGAGAGAAGGAGGGAGAGATGATGAGAAGAAAAGAGACAAGATGGGAGAGGAAGGAGGATGAGAGGGATGGAGGTAAGGAGGAAGGAAAAGAGAGAGGAGGAGGAGGGAGGGAGAGAGGAGGAGCAGGGAGAGGGGGGAGAGGAGAGAGGGAGGGAGATGGAGGAGGAGAGAGAGGAGGGAGAGAGAGGGAGAGAGGGGGAGGGGAGGGAGGGAGGGAGGGAGGAGGGAGGAGGGAGGAGGAGAGAGAGAGAGGAGAGAGAGAGAGAAGAGAGAGGAGAGAGAGAGAGAGGAGATCCCTTCCTTCAAGCCTTCGATTTTTCGTTTAATCTTATTCCTCTTTGACCTCTTTCCTCCTTTCTTTCTCTCTACTCAAAGCGAAAAGAGAGAACGAGACACCAAAGACAAGTTAAAAAAAAAAAAAAAAAAAAAAAAAAAAAAAACGAGAGGGAACGGAAAGGGAAAAGGAAAAAATCCTGCACAAAAAGATAAAGATAAAGATAAAGATAAAGAAGGGATAATCTGGGTTGTGGCCAGGATGAGGCGAAACAGGGCGAAAAAGTTAAAAAGTTGAAGACGTGCTGAAAGGGAGAGAAGAGGAGAAAGAGATGAGAATCAGAGAGAGGGAGGGGAAGAGAGTGGAAGATAAGAGATGGAAGAGGAAGGAGAGAGAGGAAGCAGGAGGGGAAGGAGGGAAGAGGTAGAGGTAGAGGATGCAAGAGAGAGAGAGAGTGAGAGAATAAGGGGAGAGGGAGAGAAAGAAATAGAGGGAGAAGGAAAATGAGACGGAGAGGAAGAGGGGGAGGAGCAAGAAGAGTTTGGGGGAGAGGGAAAATGAGGCGAAGAGGGAGAGGGAGAGAGAAAGGGAGAAACAGGAAACAGGAAGATTAGAGGGAAAGGAAAATGAGAGAAAGGGTGAGGGAGAAAGGAGGAACAGGAAGAGGGAGAGGAAAGAAAGAAGAAAGAGGAGAATGGAGAGGGGGAAGAGAAAGAAGCAGAGGACGGAGAGAGGAGAGAAAAGAAAAAAAGAGGAGAGAGAAAAAGAGAAGAGAGGGGGAAGGATAATGAGTGAAGTGAAAAGATGAGAATAAAGGAAAAAGAGAAAAGTTAAAGAAAGAAAGAAAATGAGAAAGAGAAGACGAGACAGAAAATATAAGAAAACGATCAGGAAGTGAAAGGGAAAAGGAGGAAAAGTGGAAGAGAGAGAGAGGATGAGAGAGGAAAGAAGGAGATGGAGAAGTAGAATAGACAAAGGGGAGGTGGAAGGAAAGGGAGAGGGCGAGAGGCAGGAAAAGGAAAAGGGAGAGGCGAGGCGAAAGAAAGAGAGAGAGAATGGTTAGGAGAGGGGGATAAAGATAGAAGATGACAGCAAAGGAAGCATGAAAGGTGAATGAGAGAGGGATAGGAAGAAAAAGAAGGAAGGGAGAGAGAGAAGAGAAGAAATGGGGTAGGGAGAAGAGAGGATGGGAGGAGAGAGAGAGAGAGAGGTGAGGGGAAAGGGAGAGGCGGTGAAGGGGAGGGAGAGGGAGTGAAGGGGGAGGAAGGGGAGCGAAGGGCTGGAGCGGGTGTGAAGGAGAGAGAGGAGAGAGAGGTGATAGGCGTGACAAGGGTGAGGGAGACGGGAGAGAGATGAGGGGGTGAAGGGGAGGAGAGGGAGAGAGAGGTGAGGGGGTGAGGGTAGCGCCGCAGGGGAGGTGGCGAAGGGAGGGAGAGCGGTGGCCGAAGGGGGAGCGGAAGAGGGTCTGAAAGGAAGGGAGAGGGTTGAGAGGATGGAGGGGGGGGAGGTTATAACGAAGTAAAAACTCTCAGCCCCCGCCGCCGAGCAAGTACCCGAGAGATCCGCGGGAGCCGCAGCCCGTGTCACGGCATACGTCACGGAGTTCTATGTGGTTCCGTGCTTGGCATCGTAGTCGCCCGCACGCCTGGTCCCTTCTATAGCCCCTTCCCGCTGTGCAGCAGTCGTCTCCCTCACCCTTCCTTCCGCTCCTCCCCTTCCCCGCTGCGCAGTCGTTCGACGCGCACCCTACCCTCCCTCCTCCCTTCCCATGCCGCAGTCGTCGCCCGCACCCTTCCCTCCCCTCCTCCCCTTCCCCTGCCGCAGTCGTCGCCCGCACCCTTTCCCTCCCTCTCCTCCCCTTCCCCTGCCCAGTCGTCGCCCGCACCCTTACCCTCCCTCCTCCCCTTCCCCTGCCACAGTTCGTCGCCCGCACCCTACCCTCCTCCTCCCCTTCCCCTGCCACAGTCGTCGCCCGCCCTCCTCCCTCCTCCCCTTCCCCTGCCGCAGTCGTCGCACGCACCCTTCCCTCGCCCACCTCCTGCCCTTCCCCTCGCTCCAGTCCCCGCCGCAGTCGTCGCACGTACCCTTCACCTCCCTCCTCCCCTTCCCCTGCCCTGTCGCCCCCCGCCTACCCTCCCTCTCCCTTTCCCCTGCCGCAGTCGTCGCACGACCCACCCTCCCTCCTCCCCTTCTCCCGTAGGAGGGCAGAACAACCCTATGTTGTTCTGTTTTGCCATTGTCCCCTCTTTTCCTGGGTTCTGCCACCTGTCCCTGCCCTATGCCCTCTCTCACCTGTGCCCTGCCACCTGTCCCTGCCCTATGCCCTCTCTCACCTCTTGCCCTGTTCCTGCCCCGGGCACTTTCCAACACGTGCCCTGCCTCATACCCTGTCTCGGTTATCCTCTTCCCCTTCCCCCTTGTCCTCTGTTACCTGTACCCTCTCATCTGTCCCCTGCACCATGCCCTCTCCCACCTGTTCTGAACCACTTCTGCTTGTTCTCTGTCCCCTTTCACTTGTCCCCTGGCATCTGTCCCTTGTCCCCTGTCCACTGTCCCTGTCCCTGTTCCCTGTCCTCTGTCGTCTATCCTCTGTCCCCTCTCAGCTAGACCCTTGCCACCTCTCCCTACCCTGTTCCCCTATTCCCCCTCTCCCCTGCCACTTTGCCCCTTACTCCTGCCCCCTCTCTCGTTACTGCCCCTTTCTCCCTGCCCCCCTCCTCTATCACTTGCCCCTTACCCCTCCCCCGGTCACTTGCCCTTACCCCTCCCCCCCTTCACCCGTCACTTGCCCCTTACGCCTGCCCCCCTCCTCCGTCACTTGCCCTTACTCCCTGCCCCCTCCCCCGTCACTTGCCTTTCCCTTACCCCCATCTCCCCGTCACTTGCCCTTAACCCCTTCCCCCCGTCACTTGCCCCTCACCCCTGTCCCCTCTCCTCCGTCACTTGCCCTACCCCTTGCCCCCTCCCCCCCGTCACTTGCCCCTCACCCCCTGTCCCCCTCCTCCGTCACTTCTCCCCTACACCCTCCCCCCCCCCTTCACCCGTCACTTGCCCCTACCCTCCCCCCTTCACCCGTCACTTGCCCTTACTCCCTGCCCCCCCTCCCCCGTCACCTGCTCTTGCCCCCGTGCCCTCATCTCCTTTCCCAATCCCGTGCTTATCTGCCCGCGTATCAGCCAGGGAGATAAGACTGATAACAATCCCCGGTAGATAACACCAGGGAAGCCTAGAAAATGCGCGGAGGGGAA